TCCTGTTATGCTGGTGTCCCTCTTGGGGTTGATTCCAGCAGCAGCGGATACTGACTTGGGTTAGAGTGAAGAGCTAACCAAGCACTTCTTTGCAGTGGTTTCCATCTGATACTTTCAGTGTTTGACTGAAAAATTGTCATGATACAAATTCAATGAGCCTTTATGTTTTGCAATCACAGGTTTGGACGTGTGACTTTTTAGCGATTAGATATGTGAAATGCTTCTATATAGCTTTACACAGAGATTTGAGAGAGGACTGTTAATGGATTTGAAAGAGAATGACTGATTTATCCAACTGTGTTTTTACTAAAGATTTCTGATATGCTGCCATTAATATTTCATTCTATTTTTACCAAATGAATGGTATAACTAGGCAGCTGGTCTGTAATTATTTGTAAATGCTGCAGAACATGCAGTCACCCAGCTGCCTATGGCTGCATGCCATTGGGAAGGCAGCAAGGTGGTGACACGCTGACTTCCTTGAGACGGACAGGTTTTTGCACTGCCTAGGTGCTAAAAAGCACAAGTCATCAGAAGTACTCTTTGTTGCATTCTCTGAATTGTTCTTAATCTCTAACACATTGCAGCTCTGCCTGCGCAGTGATGTGAATGGTCCAAGCAGACATGTTTCTCTTGATAACACGGTGACTCTGGGTTCCTTTGAGGAAAAGGGCCAGACTGCTTCAGTCGCTTATCTCTTTTTCTAAGCAAAATGCACCTCAGCAAACATAGGGTTTTGTAGCAGCATTCTCCCTTCATTTGCATTTTTATCGTATCTCTAAAACAAAATTTCAAATAACACTTAAAGAACCATTCCTATGTGTTGGTGAAAGATATGAGGAATCTAATTTAAATCCAATTTCATCTGGCCCATGCTTGCTTTTAGTGTTGCTCTCATGCTTGCTTTATCTGTTCCAAAACTTGCTGAAATTGTGTTGAATTGCTGCCTTTCTTCCCTTCTCTCTATTTTACACTTGTGTTTTTTTCTGACACTGTTTTTAAAAGGAGCAGTGCAGAGGACTATTAGGACTACTAATAGGACAGGATAAAACCTACTGACTTGAGTGAAGCACTTGAATTATCTCCAGACTGCCGCTTTTATTGACAAAAGAGTATGCTAATAGATAAAACTGTAAGTCCTGCGTACTCCGCTATGCTGTTCATAATGATGGGAAAAAGGTAATTGAAAGTACACTATTTTTTTCCTGTACATACTGATTTTATGTTTTTGTAGAGCAGACACAGTGGTGCCACTCTTTTTGCTGAACACCAGACGAGACCATCAGGTGTGTTTTTGATCTTTACATTACCCCTGCAGAATGGTTTTGTCTTCAGCAAGAAGGCAAACTGTGAGACATGTGGTTTGGGGAAGGGGAGGCTGTCCTTTTGTCCCACAGTGTAAAAAACTCTGGATTGCAACTGTGGCAAGATGTTCAGTAAATCCTGGGTACCCAGAACTAGTAGCTGCCAGTCTTGAGATGTAATACAAAGTCCCCTAACAAACCTTTGCCAGTTATTTTTTGCTGTGGGATCTGCTTAGCTGAACAAGGCTGAGAGGGAAAACCTGAGGAAGGTAGAAATCTTGTTAAGAGATGTTATTTTACCTTCTAGTCACTCTCACCAGCAAATACATGGTCGTAAGCAGAAATGGAATAAAAGCTCCATTGGCTGCTGAGGCTCCTGCCAGTCCATCCTGAGCACCTTTTGGAGTGGAGACTTAGTCTGATTCCAGATTGTTTGATATAAGCGTGTGAGGAATGGGATGAGAACAACAAATAGCTTGTTTTCATCTCTGATTGAAATAAAAATAAAATGCTGTACCAGAGACGACAGGCTAGTGCAACTCATTATGTTGTTCAGACCGGCTTTGTTTTTTCACTTTTAATTGTATGACAGAGCAGCAGGATGTTTATAGAAGTGTAAGAGGCTTCCAGAGATGAGCTCTGGCAACATATGTGATCCTGGATATGAAAAAGCAGAACTGAGAGATCTGTACATGAAAAATCTAGTGTTACGATGCCTACTTTTCTTTATCTATGCCTTCCATCATTTCTGACTTATGAAAGTTATTTCTCTGTGTTAGGTTGCTTGGTGTGGGTGTACCAGCAGACCAGAATACCCAAAGGATTAAATATCTGTACTTGATGCTTAGCAGGCAAGTGAGATTTGTGAGCTAGTGACTTGTTTGCACCAAGTCCCCTCTTGGGCAATGTCAGGTTCCAGGGCTGATGATCTAGCACTTTTCATGATCTCTGCATTAACAAAAACAAAACACAATATTGTGCTTCTGAACACAAATGCGTTCTTAATAGACCAACCCTTCATTTCAGTGTTTCTGTGAGACATGGTATCACTGTCTGAATTGCTTTGACAAAAGAAAATCAAGTGGGTTTTTTTGTTGTTTTGTTTTTGTTTTTTCTTGTTTTGTTTTGCTGTGTTTTCAACTAGGGCTTTACTAATTAAGCAGCAATTTAGTTGCTTACACTTTGAAGTTTCATTCATTACCTGTCCTGTGTTAAGTCAACAAAAGGCTACATCTAAGGCAGTGAGTCTCAGGCCATCGCTTTTTTGGCTGCCTAATTAAATGTAATTACTTTATTTTGTGCCAGGGTTCATACTTGTAACATTGCCTTGTAATAATTTAAATTGTATGTATGCTGCAGGGGGACTGTTTGACGCCAGAGAGGAGACGTTCCTGTTGTCCTTCCTTGCAATAGCATGCAAGTCAAAAGTACAGAGACGTCATTTTCCTACCTACTTATTAGCTGCCCTACAGGAGAAGCTCACCAGTAAGGCACTCATTTTATATGGACAGGATGTCTAACGGACCCACTATTGTACCTAAAAATAGCCTGCATTCAGGACATGCTGGGATTAGCCACAGAGGGAATCCTAGACATTTAAAAGTCAGTGACCTTCCCATGGCACACGAGCTTTGCATCCGTTCTCTTTTATTTTATAATTATGACAGATCAAAAGCATTACACTGCCACTCATTATCTCTTTAGAGGGATTTGAAGAATTACTGTCCTCTTGACAAGCAAAATACTCCTGCTGCTTCTATTTGTTGAGATCAAGCAGTAAATACCCCTCAGACAGCAAAATCACCTGCATTTCATTTTTCCCCTCACGGATTAAGAAAAAGGTTGTTGCAGGAAGAGTAAATGAGCAGCCCGATGCAGTTAATGAGCTCTGGTAAAGCTCCTGACCCATGGAGTAAGTAAAAACCAGCCTGAATGTTGAGCCAGACTTCAATGATTAATAATATGGTAAATCTAGTCTCTCTGGTAGTAATAATAGGGGTCACCTTTGGCTCTTTGTTGGCCACTGAAATGAGCGCATCTTCATGGTATGTCAGAGCCCTCCCTTTTCGTCAATGGTGCCAGCAGGTCTACGGCGAAGCAGTTAAACCTAATGTGAGATCTCAAGTCTCTCAAGCTGCATTCAAGTTTGAGGGGGGGGGGGGGGGGGGGGAGGGGGAGAGGAAGACCAAACAACTTCTGGCTTTCTAAGAGCTAGATAATTTGTGGAGTGTTTGGAGGAACATCACAAAGAATACAAATGGAAAAACAATTAATCAATTTAATGTAAGGGACGGATGGGACTGTTTCTTTCCAGAAATACTGTCATATCAGTATTTGAGTACAAGCAGGAAGCAAGATTTCATTTATAATATATTCAGTTCAATATAAACTGTCTTGGTGAGGGGAAGACCCTAAAAGTTTGCGGCAGTTTTTCAATTTGTGAGAAGCAGCAAGATAAAAATCAAACATGCATGTATTTGCTGTGGCTTTTTTTTTTTTCTTTTTCTTAACACTCTTAAGAAAACCTGATTCCTTATACATACTGTTTCAGTTTAGACACCTTTGGGGATTATGCCTGAGCTAATTTTTTAGCTCACTGAATGTGCTTGGCATCTAGCCCACTAAGTTTATCCTATCTGTGACTGAGAGCACATGTCACAGTGGGAGATATTAGGAAAACGTTTGCTCTTTGATTATGGCACTAGGGCATCAGGATTTAAGTTTAAGTGATGTGGGAGTAGGGGGAGAGGAGACTGTATTTTTATTTGATCCTGTCTTGTGTTTAGGACCCCATTGTATGTCTTGTCAAGCATACGTTTTATATGAGGGATGAGCATATTCATCTCCAAAGAGCAGGCTAGGCAGCATGAAAAGCATTTCAGTTTTGTCCCAGTAGGTACATAAGCTAAACCATGTAATTTACATTTCTCTTTTAACTTGCATTTACACCCACTTACATCTGCTGATGGCAGAAGCTTATTGAGATAGGGAGTCCATCAGTCTATGTTCAATTTTAGATGTAGGGGTATCATTAATGATTAACTTCTTCTCATCGAATATCAATTTAAATCAGATCCATTTAAATTTATTTAGAACAGCCAGGTGCAGATGTGAAGTTCTATGACTCAGGCCCACCACAGCAGGCTAAAGTAAACAAATTCATTTAAGGATGAGGTAAACTTCCAGAAAGATTGTGCTAATGTCCCCTGACTGAAAAGGCAAAAAGTCAAAGACACCAACCGTGAGCATGGTTCAGTGGGAAAGGAACATGGAGCTGTGCCTGCTACTTATGAAAAAGCCCCAGATGCATGGAAAATACTGCTGCCCTGATTCTGCCTCTTGTGAAGCCCTTTAGTGCTATGCTGGCAGTATCAAACTTAGTGCAGAGAGACTAAATTCTGCATTAACAGAGTACTGGAGAGCTCTCCAACTTCATAGTAAATTTGTTTGGGCTGCTAGAATCGCAGGCCCCTCGTTAGATGTGTCTGCCCCTACAGAGGTGGTAGGTTGTTGAAATTCAGTTGCAGAAGCAGAGCTTGTGGTCTGTAGTGAGGCTGGAGCAGGCTGAGATTGCCTACCATCCTGCTCTGTTGGACAGGCTGCCTTAGATGGGCAGAGCTATGTAAAAACCAAAATAAAATGGGAAAATCTAAGAACTACTGTAAAATGTAACCTGCTTTGTGCTTTCTTCCCCAGACTAGAAGAGACCTGTCTTAAGAAAGATGGAGATGGCCCCCATCTTCCTTCCGCATGCTGCTCTGCCAAGGTACAGGACATCCCAGTCTGGCTGTATTCTGCCAGAGAATTACAGCGGAGAGGAATTTGTACACTACAACAGAAGCTTAAAAGAAAGAAATCATCTGTGTGAGGATTTTGAGCTGTTTATTTTTTGTTTTGTTTTCATGCAAGACAAAAAGCATGACCCAAGTCACTAAGTATTAAGCAGCATATAAAACAAATGAATAAACAAACTTGGAAGTGTTCACTGTCGTAAACCTCAGTGCTTTCTGGTGCATGTTTTACTGCATCTTATATTAATGATTAGGTTTCAGAATGTTTTTGTGGCTGGCATTCGAGATCTACTTCCTATCAGACAGTTTCAAGCACAGCTGCTTCTTGCCATAATGCTCTAAGTGGGCTCTTGCAGGAGGACTGGCAGAGACCCAGATGATGCCAGCATCTGCGTGGCTGCAGAGGTGTGTCCAGAAGTGGTGTGTGTGCTAAGCTCAAGAGATGATTCCCGGTGAACTTTCAATTCCTACTTCACTTTTTCTGCTGTGCATGATTTTGGAGATCTTTATCTTACTTCCCTGAGTTACTTCTTTTCCAGACTGGAGGGACAGCCTACACTGTTGTTTCTTACCTTGGAGCTGATTTGTACTTTCTGATAAGACTTCCATGATTTTTCTCACCCCCCTACCCTAGCAGAATTCTGTTGTATCATTTCTTGAGACAAGGAGACCGGAATATTCAGGCTGTGGTTAAACAATGGATTTAGATGTTGGCAGAATAGTGTTCTTGGTTTTGTCTGCTGTTTCCCTCCTAGGAACTACTAATTCCTAAGATTTGATTGTTCTTTTAATTATTGAATATTGAGATGATGTTTTTGTGGACCTCGTGAATAGAACATTAAGATTTGGTAATGGTCAGCTCAGATCTTATCATTTCTGTGTATGTAGTTAGAAAACACCACGACCACCACCCCCATATATCATTTTACATACCAATGTTTGGTCGAAGTACTGTTTGGCTCCCTTAACACTACCCACTGACTATTACCCACCATTATGTTTGAAAGAGTTATTTGGATCTAGCATGAAATTGTGAGGTCCTAAGAAATCTCTCCACCAGCTGTGTTCTTGAGAGAAGCAGTCGCATTTTCTCATGATAGGTTGCTGGACTTTGTATACACAAGATGTGAAGTCAACATCCAGATATTTTTTTTTTTGCTAGGAGCCAATGAGGCTCAACTTGAACATCAAAAATACTAAAACAAAATACTTCCAGCCCCTGTGTCCTGTTATCAACAGATGGTATTGATAGTCTGTTCCATAGTAAAACAACAAAGGTCTAACCAGGATCTTTAGCAAATTGCCAGTGCAGATGAAGGAAGGGAAGATAGAGGATGAAGAAAAATGGTGCCTTTAAAAAGAAAGGAAGGAAAGCAGCATGTATAATGTAGGTGAATTCAGTTTTCTTGTATATGCATCAAATGGCCCTGAGTCTGTTGCTGTTTCAAAAGGGGAACTACGGATTTCATTTTTTGGGGGGAGTTGTTTTTTGCTTTTGTTTGTTTGTTTGTTTTTGTTACAAAATCATTGTCTAAGTGGAGCTTTGTCTTCCTGTCAACTCCAGAAATGTGATTTAAGGGCCACATTTCAGAAATTCAAGGCAAAATGCCATCACCTAGCCTTTAGAATAGGGAAGGCAGTGCTGCGGGGTCTACAGACTGGGAAGACTGACATAACAGCAGGACAGATAAGGAGGGTTTGTTGTGTTTACCAGATCTAGCCAATGCTCTGATAAACATCACATAGCTGGGAGGAGGCAGTGGTGCATCTGCGAAGGCAAGTTGTCTCACATTTATTGAGTTCTTTGAGGGAACCCCCATTGTTCATGTGTCCCCTGGCTCCCAGTTAATATAGATTTCTTTGGCAGCTAAAGGCATTATGGAATGTGAGGAAAGGTCTTTAAATCATGAATAATTAATTAAAAGACACGAAAAATCAAGTAGGAATTAGTAATCAGCTTTCAGAAAAGAGAGGGATCACCAGCAGGTAGTGCAAAGATTTCATGTGTTCAGTATACTTGGAAATGAGTGGGAGCAGGTGAACTACATAGTGACGAAGTGTGTTGGTGATAGCAAGCGTTTTGGGGGAATAGTGTTACAGATCAACTACAATGGGCTGAAAAAGCAGGTGGTGATTAAACGACTCGTGACAAGACATACAAAGGAATTAAAGTGGAGGAAGTGCTCTCACTTACCCTTTCAAAGAGAAGCCCTAAACTGACTCTTTCTATCTGTATTATAACTAATGGTGCCATGAAAGCATTGGCTGAGTGCAGTAACAGTTGAAGGAGGAATTCAAATATCAGAAGTGGAGACCACCGTAATGCTATGAATCTGATGCAGGTCTGTGTAGACCTCTGGTCTCTTCATCCCCAAAAGAATGTGGGTGACTGGAGAAACCACAAAGAAGGTTGATGGGACGATCAGAGGTCTGGCGTGACTTCTGTGTGAGGAGTGACTAAATAGGAGGACTCATCAGCCTAGAAATAACAGTCAGTGGAGGATATCATAGAATGATATGAAATAAGGAGTGTTGTAAAGAGGGTGACCAGCAGTTTAATGCCAGTACAAACCTTATTTTATTATTATTTTTTTTTAATTTTCACTTTGTAACCAGGTTTTCTCATTCTGATCAACATCTCAAAGCTTGGGCTCGGTCTGCCAATATCTTCTGCCTCATGAGTGATGGCACTGCAGAGTGTGGAATGGATCACAATCAAAAAGCTGGTCTGTACAAGCGTTTTAAGGTACAGTGCATACTTTAAAAACCCATTAGCTAAAATGCCGTCTGTACTTTTATGCAGTAGAATATCAATGCATCAGCTTTGGAGTAGCTGTAGAAGAAAGTACTTAATATTGAATTTTCTTGCCCTTAAACATGAATTATAATGATGATATTTTGTGGCTTTGCGTTTTACAATACAACTCTAAAAATACTACACAAACACTTTAAGATTCTTTCCTTATGATTGTAATGTCTGCCTTGGCAAATGGTGTGCATTATAAAGATATATTGTAGCTGTATTGAAGGTACATGTTACACAAAAAAAGAACTCATTAAAAACAGATGGTGTATTAATTGTAAATGTATGTTCTTTTTGAAAACTGAAATTGCTCTTAAAGCACCTATCAAAAAGTTCAAGTAACAATCCCCTGTTGTGTTCATGCATTCTATCTTCCACATTTTTGTAGGGGAAAAACATCCAAAACAATTTAGAGGCTCTAGCTGTAATGCTGCTGTTTTATTTTTGATACTTTCAAATAGCTAAATACTGCAAGTCAAATTTTGGTGCGTCGCATGAGAAACTCTGCATTCTCTCTCTATATTCTCTCTTTAGCATCTCAAATTTACTAGTACGTGTGAGAATAACTTCAGAGAGATGTTTGTGTATTTAAGAGCAAGGTGGTGCACGGAGATCTGAGGAGAAATTCTGAAGACTAAGATTAAGTATCATAACTACACACCCTTGAGGTTGTGATAATTCAGAAATATGTCTTGGGGGAGTTATAAAGAAATTTTTTCAGGTATAAGGTAACACTAGTAAACAATGCTTAGCAGAATTGCTGAAAATACTGAGTCCATTTAATCTGCACAAGCAATCCTTTGAAATCCAAGAAACAGATATAACACGGGTTGCTGTAAAAGTGGGGTGAGAATGTGCCAGGTCTCTTAGGTAAACAGTCCGCTCACAGTCAGGCAGACTAGATATTCAACATTTGACATAAAAACTGTACCTTCATAAGAGCCTCTAGTACCACCAACAGTGCCTGATCTAGTTGGTCTCTCCATGTAACTGATGGTACTCAGTCATGTGGTTTCTACTTACTCAACCCCCTTCCTTGATCCATGCTACTCTGCATACATTACTGTTTGCTCTGATGAACTGTAATCATCAGACTCTTGATTTATGTTACTTTGAATGTAGTTTCTTGTGCTGTCCTGCAGCACTATAACCACTGCAGTTTTCTCCCTTGATGTCTCTTGGGCATCTCTAGTGCTACTGCCCAAATTCTTCTGTTACTGCTGATTTCCAGTGCAACGTTTTTTAATTTTTAAGGTTTTTGTACTTAAAGTTGTCTGTGACATAAGGTACTCTTTCATGTACTCCCAGTCACCAGAAGGCCATGTTGCCATCCAGAGAGACCTTGACAGGCTGGAGAGGCAAGCTGAGCAGAAGCTCTTGATTTTCAACAAGAACAAGATGATATAGGGTCAGGAGCACCTTCCCTATATGGACAGGCTGAAAGGGCTGGGACTGTTCAGCCTGGAGAAAGGGAGGCTAGGTGGGGATCTCATCAATGTCTATAAATACCTAAATGAAGGTTGCAAAGGGGATGGAGGCTCTTTTCAGTTGTGCCCCGTGACAGGACAAGAGGACAATGGGTACAAACTGGAACACAAGAGGTTCCATCTGAGCATCAGGAATCACTTTACAGCATGGGTAATGGAGTGCTGGCACGGGTTGCCCAGAGAAGCGATGGAGTCTCCTTCCTTGGAGGTATTCAAAAACTACCTGGATGTGGTCCTGGGCAGCCAGCTCTGTGTGTCTCTGCTCGAGTAGAGGGGTGACCCCCGGAGGTCCCTTCCAACCTCAGCCATTCTGTGACTGGGTCCCTCTTTCCTGAGTGGGTTTCAGGCTCTATTTTGAACTCCTCGAGTATGTCCATAGCGCTGTCTAGGACCACTTGTCACCTCCTTATCTTCCTGATATGACTGAAAAACAAACAAAGAACAGTTTACAAGTATATTTCCTACAAATTTACCTTTTGGGCTACATTCAGTTATTCTAAACTAATGCATATGAAAAGTTGTGCTGATGCATAATGGCTGAAAGTTTGGCCTGTTTCTAGGTGAACACTGAGCAAACTTTATTGCAGAATGATGCAAGCATTTATAAGATGCTCCTTTTTATGAACCATGGAAAAGCCAGAGATGACCTACTCCAAACAGAGACAGAACAGAAAGACGACTGTTTAGCTATGGGCTTTTTTATTATTATTATTATTTTATTTTATTTCCTCATCTTTTCATTGCAGTTAATCTCTGTCTTGAAGACAAAGGTGTTTCTGCAGAGCTGTCTGTAGTTAGACGCTTGATCACTGCGTGAATGTACAGTACAGCCAGTATTTCAGGACATTACACTGGGGTAGATGCTGCAATTAGTCACTGCTGTGCTTTGCTGCTTTGGCAGCTGCTGGGGATGGTTAGTGATGGCATTGCTCTAGGCTGGGAGGGAAGTGAGGGAAGAGCTTATTCCAGTAAGTGACTTGCCTCCTGTTTGTAGCTTGGCCCACTGCATCTTGCCAGACACACAGGCTCCTCCAAGTACTTTCACAATCATCTCTTGTCTCTTCAATTACCACTTCCTCCTCCCCCTGCCTCTCTCTTCCGTTTGACCTCCTAGTAATTCCTCCGGCGCTAGCTCAGGACGGTGCAGTAGGCTATACTACCCCTTCCAATTAAAGATGTAAGTATGTGGCACGTTAGAAGTTACCTAACAAGCCCCTAAACTCCCTTTAAATGAGAGCCCGCTGTCTCATTGATCTTGCCCGACCCACTTTGAATCCCAAATTTTCATAGGCTGCAGTTAGCTGTCACAGCAATTACAGGTTTTTGGAACTCCGCTGTTGTTTGCTCGCTTCGTGCTGCCAGCCAGTAGTAGTAGGCTTATATGTCCAGATTTAGATACAGGCTGAATTTCCCAGGTTCACATATTGCACTTGGGGTTTATTTTTAATTCATAAAGACTACTTGATGTAATGATCAGCAATCAAAGAATACACAATTATCACTCTTGCAAACTTTCCTGTGCCTCAGTAATTAAACCAACAAATTAGTTAAAGGCTCCAATGCGGAAGGAGAGTGGTAGACTGTGGTCAAGACACACATTTACGGATTTTCCCTTAAGCTGCTTTTCTTGAGGAAGCTTTGATAAAGACCATATGATATCAATTATCATTAACTCTGTGTGGTTTCTCTGCATTTGGAGCTCTCAGACGTTAGTAGACAGGAGCCCTGCGTTAAGTCTTTAATGTATAACTGGTATTTATGCTGCATAGCCTATTCTCATTTTGATTTGTCAGCTGACATTTGAAAGAGACGATTTAAGACAATTTATATGCACAGACTGTGGCCTGTTGTGCTGAGTGACACTTCCTCCTCTGATCTGATTTGACAGAGAGCTATTCCAACAGCAGCAACAACATATTTTAAATGCCAGATTTTAAAACAAACATTTTAATTATATCTCATGTTCAGTTGCTGCCCCAAAAAACCTGAAGGATGTGTTTTGTTAAGGTGTCACTGCCTGAGCTTGACAACAAAGTCAGTGTGATTTAACAAACTGACTCAAATCCTCTCTTCAGAGAACACACTCTATATGAGTCCCTAAACATCAAAGTCTCTTGTCTTGAGCTCTGTTCTACAGTCCGTCAGTGTGAGCCTTCCTTTACAGGCAGCAGAAGGAATTCAGCAAACATGTAGATGTGATTCATTCTTAAGATCTTCAAATATGTGGATGAGTCACTGATAAGTACATGTAAGTTGTGCTGACCAGATTTAGAGTGTAGCATCCAGCACTGGAAATTACAGGATGTAGTTGGGAACAGATGAGGGAGCCTGAAAACTCTTATAATCAAGGAAGTACATATGAAAATCTTTAGCAAGCTAGAAAGTTCATTTGACTGGAGGAAAAAAAAAAAAAAAAAAAAAGTGCACATAACTTATTTTACTGGGATTTACAGACGAGTTTAGGCCTGATAGCTCACAACTTCTCTTTGCTCCTTTTTCAGGTGGGGGTTTCCAACATTTTTTGGGGGGAGGAAAAAACTCCCAGCTCTTAAGATGTCCTAGTTCTGTAGCTGTTTGAAACTAGATGGGCAATAGTGGCTTGTATTTTAGCTGAGCTTTATGCCCACATCTGATCGGAGGCTGTGAGATGGGCGGTGAGGGGACTGTAGTATGAAGGCAGATAACCAGGAGGCAGAAATGTATGCCTTGAAATTTTTTTCTTGACCTTCTATTTACATGTCAAAGCCCTTGGGTTGCTGAGTTGCTTCATATGCAAGAACAACACAATTTCAGGAAGAAGGAAGGTTTGTGTTTGAACACGCCATGTTCTCTCATGCCCTATTCTTCAGCCTAGACAGTGAAACCCTGCAGCATTTTAGACCCTTCCAGGCAGAGAAATCAACTTTTGACTCCCAAGAGAAATTTGGAGACTTCAAATAACACACTTGTAGATCACCTGAGTTAATTTGACTGACAGGTACATGAGGTTATCACATATTGCTACTTATCTTTCTGACTTAGCACATCATTTTGGGGCAGGTCTACGTTACTGAGCCTTGTGTTGTGTTTTACTTTTCTACTTAGGACTTTTCTTCTGTTTATCTAATGCCTGCTTGGCTTTCTTTAAAGCTACCACAGTCAGCGTGAAACAGTACAGGTGTTTTTTTCAAGTGTCATAACATAAAACTTGTATGTGTTTTGCAGCTACAAAATGTGCAATAAAGCAGCCCGTTAAGCAGCCAAATTCCTGCTAGATGTAAGCACACAGCAGGGCTCCACCTGCACAGCAGGCCTGGACTTGACCTTGTGATTTTACACACTGATTCATCACAAGGATATTTGGCTGGGATGTTGCTATAATCATAGTGTAATTGGAAAATCCTCTGATGTTCAATCACCTTTAACCACCTACTCTTGTATCTAGATATGAGCAAACATCTTCAAGGACAGCAAAGG